GGTTTGGGGTGAATCCCGAAGGTTTTGGGGCCGATTTCGGGGATTTGGGAACTCCAGGAGGGTTTGGGGTGAATCCCGAAGGTTTTGGGATCCGTTTTGGGGATTTTGGGGATTTGGGAACTCCAGGAGGTTTTGGGGTCAATCCCGAAGGTTTTGGGATCCGTTTTGGGGATTTTGGGGTCACAGAAATTTTGGGGTGAATTTCCGAGGTTCTGGGGTCCGAATTTGGGCTTTCCTCGTTACCTCGGGGTGAATTTCTGGGAGTTTTGGGTCCCACGAGACGTTTTTGGGGTGAAACCAAATTTTTTGGGGCCAATCTCAGAGATTTGGGGGCTCTGGGTTATTTTGGGGTCAGTTCTGGGGTTTGGGGGGGCAGAAGGGTTTTGTGGGGCAAATTCCTGAGGATTTTGGGGCGAATTCCAGAAGATTTTTGGGGTAAATTCCCGAGGATTTTTGGAGTGAATTTCTGAGGATTTTGGGGTGAATTCCCGAGGATTTTGGGGCAAATTCCAGAAGATTTTTGGGGTGAGTTCCAGAGGATTTTTGGGGTGAATTCCCAAGGATTTTGGGGCAAATCCCAGAGGATTTTTTGGGACAAATTCCCAGAGGATTTTGGGATGAATTCCAGCAGATTTTGGGGCAAATTCCCAAGGATTTTTGAGGAAATTCCCGAGGATTTTTGGGGCAAATTCCCGAGGATTTTGGGGCAAATTCCAGAAGATTTTTGGGGTGAATTCCCGAAGATTTTGGGGGTGAATTCCCAAGGATTTTGGGGTGAATTCCCAAGGATTTTGGGGTGAATTCCCGAGGATTTTTGGGGTGAATTCCTGAGGAATTTGGGGGTGAATTCCCAAGGATTTTGGGGCAAATTCCAGAAGATTTTCGTGTGAGTTCCAGAGGATTTTTGGGGTGAGATCCAGAAGATTTTGGGGTGAATTCCCGAGGATTTTGGGGCAAATTCCAGAAGATTTTTGGGGTGAGTTCCAGAGGATTTTTGGGGTGAATTCCCAAGGATTTTGGGGCAAATCCCAGAGGATTTTTTTGGACAAATTCCCAGAGGATTTTGGGGTGAATTCCAGCAGATTTTGGGGCAAATTCCCAAGGATTTTTGAGGAAATTCCCGAGGATTTTTGGGGCAAATTCCCGAGGATTTTGGGGCAAATTCCATAAGATTTTTGGGGTGGATTTCTGAGGATTTTGGGGGTGAATTCCCAAGGATTTTGGGGCAAATCCCAGAGGATTTTTGAGGAAAATTCCAGAGGATTTTTGGGGGTAAATTCCCGAGGATTTTGGGGTGAATTCCAGAAGATTTTGGGGTGAACTCCCGAGGATTTTGGGGATCTCTCGGGGGGATCTGGGGGTCCTGACCGGGGTTTTTTGGGGTCAATCCAAAGAATTTTGGGGTCGATTCGAGGCTTTTTGGGATCCTGTATTTCTGTACAGCGGGGGAGGGGGGCAGGGCTGTCCCCACAATTGTCCCAGTCCGGGATCTGTCCGGGGGATCCATTTGGGATCCGGGATCTGTCCAAGGGTCCAGGGGGGTTCGGGATCCATTTGGGGGATCCATTTGGGGTCCGGGATCTGTCCAGGGGATCCATTTGGGATCCAGGATCTGTCCGAGGGTCCAGGGGAGTTCGGGATCCATCCAGGGGATCCTTTTGGGATCCGGGATCTGTCCGGGGGATCCTTTTGGGATCCAGGATCTGTCTGAGGGTCCAGGGGGGTTTGGGATCCATCCAGGGGATCCTTTTGGGATCCGGGATCTGTCCGGGGGGTCCAGGATCCATTTGTGGGGTCCAAGGGGATCCAGGATCCATTTGGGATCTGTCCGGGGGTTCCAGAGGGATCCAGGATTTGTCCAGGTGTCCGAAGAGGTTCGGGATCCGTTTGGGGGCTCCAGGGTTTTTTGGGGTCAATCCAAAGAATTTTGGGGTCGATTCGAGGCTTTTTGGGATCCTGTATTTCTGTACAGCGGGGGAGGGGGGCAGGGCTGTCCCCACAATTGTCCCAGTCCGGGATCTGTCCGGGGGATCCTTTTGGGATCCGGGATCCGTCCAGGGATCCAGAGGGGTTTGGGATCCATTCGAGGGGTCCAGGATCCATTTGGGATCCGGGATCTGTCCAAGGGTCCAGGGGGGTTCGGGATCCATTTGGGGGATCCATTTGGGGTCCGGGATCTGTCCAGGGGATCCATTTGGGATCCAGGATCTGTCCGAGGGTCCAGGGGAGTTCGGGATCCATCCAGGGGATCCTTTTGGGATCCGGGATCTGTCCGGGGGGTCCAGGATCCATTTGTGGGGTCCAAGGGGATCCAGGATCCATTTGGGATCTGTCCGGGGGTTCCAGAGGGATCCAGGATTTGTCCAGGTGTCCGAAGAGGTTCGGGATCCGTTTGGGGGCTCCAGGATCCGTTTGGGGGTCCAGGATCCATTCTGGGGGTCCAGGGGGATCCAGGATCCATCTGGGAGGGGTTCAGAGTCCGGGATCCATCCGGGAGATCCAGAGAGGCCCAGGATCCACTTGAAGAGTCTGGGATCCATTTGAGGGATCTGGGATCCATCCAGGGAGTCCAGAGAGGTCCAGGATCCATTTGGGGATCTGGGATCCATCCAGAGAGGTCCAGAATCTATTTGAGGATCTGGGATCCATCCAGGGAGCCCAGAGAGGTCCGGATCCATCCAGGGAGCCCAGAGAGGTCCAGGATCCATTTGGGGATCTGGGATCCATCCAGAGAGGTCCAGAATCTATTTGAGGATCTGAGAGAGGTCCAGGATCCATTTGGGGATCTGGGATCCATCCAGAGAGGTCCAGGATCCATCCAGGGAGTCCAGAGAGGTCCAGGATCCATTTGGGGATCTGGGATCCATCCAGGGAATCCAGAGAGGTCCAGGATCCATTTGGGGATCTGGGATCCATCCAGAGAAGCCGAGGATCCATTGGGAGAGGGGGTCCAGAGGGATCTGGGACCCAGGGAGTCCAGAATCTGTTTGAAGAGTCCAGGATCCATTTTGGGATCTGGGATCTGTCCAGGGGGTTCAGAAATGGCCCAGGATCCGTTTGGGGGCTCCGGGATCCGTCCGGGGGTGTCCAGGGGGATCCGGTCACGTCCTTGGGGGTCCCAGAGCAGCCAGGTGGGAACTGGGCCTGGGATCCACAGCCAGGATCCTGAGTTGGGATCCACAGCCGGATCCACAGCAGGATCCACAGCAGGATCCACAGCCAGATCCACAGCCGGATCCACAGCCGGATCCACAGCCGGGATCCACAGCCGGGATCCACAGCAGGATCCACAGCAGGATCCACACCGGGATCCACACTGGGATCCACAGCCAGATCCACAGCGGGATCCACACTGGGATCCACAGCCAGATCCACAGCAGGATCCACACCGGGATCCACAGCGGGATCCACAGCCGGGATCCACATGGGGATCCACCGCAGCATCCACAGCGGGATCCACACTGGGATCCACAGCCAGATCCACAGCCGGGATCCACAGCCGGGATCCACAGCCAGGATCCACAGCCGGGATCCACACTGGGATCCACAGCGGGATCCACACCAGGGATCCAGAGCCAGGATCCATAGCGGGATCCACAGCCGGGATCCACACTGGGATCCACAGCGGGATCCACACCAGGGATCCAGAGCCAGGATCCACACCGGGATCCGGCCGTGTCCAGTGTCCAGCGCTGTCCTGGGAGTGTCCCTGGCCCTGTACCCAGCTGTGTCCCGGGATCTGTCCTGTCCCAGTGTCCTGCTGTGTCCCGGGATCTGTCCCCATCCCGGGATCTGTCCTGTCCTGGGATCTGTCCTGTCCCAGTGTCCTGCTGTGTCCCGGGATCTGTCCCCATCCCGGGATCTGTCCTGTCCCAGTGTCCTGCTGTGTCCCGGGATCTGTCCTGTCCTGGGATCTGTCCTGTCCCAGTGTCCTGCTGTGTCCCGGGATCTGTCCTATCCTGGGATCTGTCCTGTCCCAGTGTCCTGCTGTGTCCCGGGATCTGTCCCCATCCCGGGATCTGTCCTGTCCCAGTGTCCTGCTGTGTCCCGGGATCTGTCCCCATCCCGGGATCTGTCCTGTCCCAGTGTCCTGCTGTGTCCCGGGATCTGTCCTGTCCTGGGATCTGTCCATGTCAGTGTCCGGCTGTGTCCTGGGCTCTGGCTGTGTCCAGTGTCCGGCTGTGTCCCAGCACTGTCCCTGTCCCTGTCCCTGTCCCAGTGGTGTCCTGGGGTCTGTCCCGGGATCTGTCCCTGTCCTGGAATTGTCCCTGTCCCTGTCCCAGTGTCCTGGGATCTGTCCCTGTCCTGGAATTGTCCCTGTCCCAGCACTGTCCCTGTCCCTGTCCCAGTGTCCTGGGATCTGTCCCTGTCCTGGAATTGTCCCTGTCCCAGTGTCCAGAGCTGTCCCTGTCCCAGGCCCTGGCTGTGTCCCTGTCCCTGTCCTTGTGTCCCTGTCCCTGTCCCAGGCCCTGGCTGTGTCCCTGTCCTTGTGTCCCTGTCCCTGTCCCTGTCCCAGGCCCTGGCTGTGTCCCTGTCCTTGTGTCCCTGTCCCTGTGTCCCTGTCCCTGTCCCAGGCCCTGGCTGTGTCCCTGTCCCTGTGTCCCTGTCCCTGTCCCAGGCCCTGGCTGTGTCCCTGTCCTTGTGTCCCTGTCCCTGTCTTTTCCTGGGCTCTGGCCGTGTCCAGGGGTGCCCTGGGATTGTCCCCAACCCCATCCCTGTCCCAGGTGTGTCCCCATCCCTGTCCCAGGTGTGTCCCTGTCCCTGTCCCAGGTGTGTCCCTGTCCCAGGTGTGTCCCTGTCCCTGTCCCAGCTGTGTCCCTGTCCCAGGTGTGTCCCCATTCCTGTCCCAGGTGTGTCCCCATCCCAGGATCCAACGGTGTCCCAGATCCAGCTGTGCCCTGGGATTGTCCCTGTGCCAGATGTGTCCCTGTCCCTGTGCCAGATGTGTCCCTATCCTTGTCCCTTCTCCCTGTCCCAGGTGTGTCCCTGTCCTCGTCCCTGTCCCCATCCTGGGATCCATCCCTGTCCCTGTCCCTGTCCCTGTCCCCTCTGTCCCTGTCCCTGTCCCGGGATCTCTCCATGTTCAGGGTCAGCCAGGCCAGGGCTGTCCCTCGGTGTCCCCTGAATGTCCCTCGGTGTCCCCTGGGTGTCCCTCAGGTGTCCCCAAAGTGCCACAAGGACCTGGGATGTCCCCCAGGTGCCACAGGACCCACAGGTGTCCCACTGTCCCCTGGCCTGTCCCCAGTGTCCCTGTGGGTCCCTAGGTGCCACCTCGGGCTGTCCCCAGTGTCCCCAATGTCCCTGTGCGTCACAGTGCCATGGGTGGCACCTCAGGCTCAGTGTCACTGCTGTCCCCGGTGTCCCCAGTGTCCCCAATGTCCCTGTGCGTCACAGTGCCATGGGTGGCACCTCAGGCTCAGTGTCACTGCTGTCCCTGGTGTCCCCAGTGTCCCTTGTTGGTCATGGTGCCATTGGTGACACCTCGGGCTGTCACTGCTGTCCCCAATGTCCCTGATGTCCCCAGTGTCCCATTGGTCACGGTGCTGTTGATGCCACCTGGTGCTGTCACTGCTGTCCCCGATGTCCCCAGTGTCCCCAATGTCTCCAAGTGTCCCCAACATCCCCTGAGGGTCACGGTGCCATCGGTGCCACCTCAGGCTGTCCCCAATGTCCCCTGTGGGTCACGGTGCCGTTGGTGGCACATCGGGCTTGCTGTCACTGCTGTCCTCAATGTCCCCAATGTCCCCTCAGGTCACGGTGCCATCGGTGCCACCTCCGGCTGTCCCCGGTGTCCCCTCAGGTCACGGTGCCATTGGTGCCACTTCAGGCTGTCCCCGGTGTCCCCTCAGGTCACGGTGCCATCGGTGCCACCTCCGGCTGTCCCCGGTGTCCCCTCAGGTCACGGTGCATCGGTGCCACCTCCGGCTGTCCCCGGTGTCCCCTCAGGTCACGGTGCCGTCGGTGCCACCTCAGGCTGTCCCTGGTGTCCCCTCAGGTCACGGTGCCGTCGGTGCCACCTCCGGCTCACTGTCGCTGCTGTCCCCGGTGTCCCCGGTGTCCCCGATGTCCCCCGGGGTCAGGGCGAAGGGCGGTGGCAGCTCCTCGTCCGAGGAGCCCAGCGAGTCCTCGTCCCCCAGGCGTGTCCCCAAGGCCACCGCGCCGAAGGACAGCGGCCCCCGCAGCAGCCGGATCTGGGACAGGGACGGGGGACAGCAGGGGACAGCAGGGGACAGTGAGGGGACAGGGGGGACAGTGAGGGGACAGCAGGGGACAGCAGGGGACAGTGAGGGGACAGGGGGGACAGCAGGGGACAGCAGGGGACAGTGAGGGGACAGCGAGGGACAGGGACAGGGGACAGCAGGGGACAGAGAGGGGACAGGGGGCACAGTGAGGGGACAGCAGGGGACACAGAGGGACAGGGACAGGGGACAGCAGGGACAGTGAGGGGACAGCAGGGGACAGAGAGGGACAGGGGACAGAGAGAGGACAGTGAGAGACAGCCAGGGGACAGAAAGGAGACAGGGACAGGGGACAGCAGGGACAGAGAGGGGACAGGGACAGGGGGGGACAGCGGGGACAGCCAGGGGATAGGAGAGGGAACAGGGGACAGTTGGGACAGCAGGGGACAGGGACAAGGGACAGCAGGGACAGGGGACAGCAGGGGACAGAGAGGGGATGGCACAGGGCAGGGACAGGGAGGGGACAGCGAGGGGACAAGGACAGGAATGGAGATGGGGACAGGGACAAGGGACAGGGACAGGAGGGGACAGCGAGGGGACAAGGACAGGAATGGAGATGGGGACAGGGACAAGGGACAGGAACAGGAGGGGACAGCGAGGGGACAAGGACAGGAATGGAGATGGGGACGGGGACAGGGGACAGGAGGGGACAAAGCCAACAGAGAAGGGCAGGAGGGAGGACACAGAGGGACCACGCTGTCACCAGCTGTCCCCAGGCCGTGTGGCACCGAGGGGACATCGCCGGGTGCCATCCAAATGTCCCCAACCCCTGTCCCCTTCCCCAGGCCCCGTGGATGTCACCTGGGTGTCCCCTGTGTGCCCAACCCCCATGTCCCCTGTGCCTCCTGGTGCACCCTCGTGTCCCTGGTGTCCCTGGTGTCCCCAACACCCCCAGTGTCCCCAATGTCCCTGATGCCCCCAGTGATGTCCCCAGCGATGTCCCCGTGTCCCACCTCGGCCTTGAGCTGCTGGATGTGGCCCTGCAGGTGCCGGATGTACTGCGCCCCCCGTGTCCCCAGTGTCCCCAATGTCCCCAGTGTCCCAGATGTCCCCAGTGAAGTCCCCATGTCCCCGATGTCCCCCATCCGATGTCCCCCTGTCCCCTCCATGTCCACATCCCCTCCATGTCCCTGATGTCCCCTCCATGTCCTCACATCCCCGTGTTCCCACATCCCCCAGTGTCCCCATGTCCCCCATCCCTCCATGTCCCCGATGGCCCCAGTGTCCCTCATGTCCCCCTGATGTCCCCGATGTCCCCCATCCCCTCCATGTCCCCATGTCCCTGATGTCCCAAATGTCCCCATATCCCCAGTGCCCATGTCCCCAGTGTCCCCCATAATCCCTTCCATGTCCCCAACATCCCCATGTCCCCCTGATGTCCCCGATGTCCCCAGTGTCCCCCATCTCCCCGATGTCCCCAATGTCCCCACCACCCCCAAATCCCCCTCATGTCCCCTTATCCCAATGTCCCCATTGTCTCCTGATGTCCCCAATGTCCCCATCTCTCCCCATATCCCTCCCCATGTCCCTCATGCCCCCATGTCCCCACCAAGTGCCCGTGTGCCCCCAGTGTCCCCATTGTCCCCTCAGTGTCCCCCATGTCCCCGTACCTGGATCTCCAGCTCAGCCACGCGCTGCCTCATCTCGGCCAGGGCGTGTCCCCGATGTCCCCAATGTCCCCATTGTCCCCAGTGTCTCCAGAGGCCCCATGTCCCCCTGATGTCCCCAGTGTCCCCTCAGTGTCCCCAGTGTCCCCATTGTCCCCTCAGTGTCCCCCACGTCCCTGTACCTGGATCTCCAGCTCAGCCACGCGCTGCCTCATCTCGGCCAGGGCGTGTCCCCGATGTCCCCAATGTCCCCATTGTCCCCAGTGTCTCCAGAGTCCCCATGTCCCCCTGATGTCCCCAGTGTCCCCTCAGTGTCCCCGTACCTGGATCTCCAGCTCAGCCACGCGCTGCCTCATCTCGGCCAGGGCGGCCATGCTGTCGGCCTCACGCAGCCGCACGGCCATCACCTCCTCCTTGCTCTGGGGACAGCGCTGTCACCCTGGGGACACCCCAGGGACACCACAGGGACACACAGGGACACCATGGGGACACCCAGGACACCTCCAGTGACACCCAGGGACACCACAGGGACACCCAGGGACACCCAGGGACACCATGGGGACACCCAGGGACACCACAGGGACACCCCAGGGACACCATGGGGACACCCAGGGACACCCCAGGGACACCCAGGGACACCATGGGGACACCATGGGGACACCCAGGGACACCCAGGGACACCATGGGGACACCCCAGGGACAGCACAGGGACACCGTGGGGACACCCGGGGACAGCCCTGCCACCATGGGGACACTGTGGGGACACCCCAGGGACACCCAGGGACACCATGGGGACACCCCCGCGACACCATGGGGACACCGTGGGGACACCGTGGGGACACCCAGGGACACCCAGGGACATTTGGGGACACCTAGGACGCCCCAGGGACCGCCAGGGACATCCTGGGGACACTTCAGGGGCACTGGGGACATCCCCGTGTGCATCCCAAATGTCCCCAGTGTCCCCAATGTCCCCAATCCCCCCAATGTCCCCAACATCCCCAAGTGTCCTCAATGTCCCAAAAGTCCAAATGTCCCCAACATCCCCAATGTCCCCAACATGCCCAACGTCCCCAATGTCCCCAGTGATGTCCCTACTGTCCCCAGAGCTGTCCCATGTCCCCAATGCTGTCCCCATTGTTCCTGATGTCCCCATTGCTGTCCCCCATGCTGTCCCCAGTGTCCCCGTTGCTGTCCCCAATGCCATCCCCATTGTCCCTGTTGCTGTCCCCATTATCCCCATTGCTGTCCACGCTGCTGTCCCCAGTGCCATCCCTGCTGTCCCCGTTGCTGTCCCTGTTGCTGTCCCCATTGCTGTCCCCCCGCTGTCCCTGTTGATGTCCCCAGTGCCACCCCCGCTGTCCCCGTTGTTGTCCCGTTGCTGTCCCCGTTGCTGTCCCCATTGTCCCCATTGCTGTCCCCCCGCTGTCCCCATTGCTGTCCCCATTGTCCCCAGTGCCACCCCGCTGTCCCCGTTGCTGTCCCCATTGTCCCTGTTACTGTCCCCATTGGCCCCATTGCTGTCCCCACTGTCCCCGTTGCTGTCCCCATTGTCCCTGCTCCTGTCCCCATTGTCCCCATTGCTGTCCCCGTTGCTGTCCCCATTGGCCCCATTGTCCCCATTGTCCCTGCTCCTGTCCCCATTGTCCCCGTTGCTGTCCCCGTTGCTGTCCCCACTGTCCCCATTGCTGTCCCCATTGCTGTCCCCCCGCTGTCCCCGCTGCTGTCCCCATTGTCCCCATTGCTGTCCCCATTATTGTCCCCAGTGCCACCCCGCTGTCCCCGCTGCTGTCCCCATTGCTGTCCCCATTGTCCCCAGTGCCACCCGCTGTCCCACCTTGCACTGTGCCTCGGCGTGTTTGCGCTGGCTCTCGCTGAGCTGCGCCTGCAGCCCCTGGCTCTGCGCGGCCGCGGCGCGGAGCTGCTCCCGCAGGCCGGCGCAGGCCTGCTCGGCCCGGCCCAAAACCGACTGCTGGATCCGCCCCTAAACCGGGACAGACCCGGGACAGACCCGGGATAAACCAGGATTAACCCGGGATTGATCTGGGATTAACCCGGCCGCGGCGCGGAGCTGCTCCCGCAGCCCGGCGCAGGCCTGCTCGGCCCGGCCCAAAACCGACTGCTGGATCCGCCCCTAAACCGGGACAGACCCGGGACAGACCCGGGATTGATCCGGGATTAACCCGGGATTGATCCGGGATTAACCCAGCCCAAAGCCAGCCCCGCTCCCGCAGCCCGGCGCAGGCCTGCTCGGCCCGGCCCAAAACCGACTGCTGGATCCGCCCCTAAACCGGGACAGACCCGGAATTGATCTGGGATTGACCTGGGATTAACCCAGGATTAACCCAGCCCAAAGCCAGCCCTGCTCCCGCAGCCCGGCGCAGCCCTGCTCGGCCCGGCCCAGGACACACTGCTGGATCCGCCCCTAAACCGGGACAGACCCGGAATTGATCTGGGATTGACCTGGGATTAACCCAGGATTAACCCAGCCCAAAGCCAGCCCTGCTCCCGCAGCCCGGCGCAGCCCTGCTCGGCCCGGCCCAGGACACACTGCTGGATCCGCCCCTAAACCGGGACAGACCCGGAATTGATCTGGGATTGACCTGGGATTAACCCAGGATTAACCCAGATAAACCCGGGATTAACTCGGGATTAAGCTGGGATAAACCCAGATAAACCCAGGATTAACCTGAGATAAACCTGGGATTGACTGGGATAAACCCAGGAAAATCCTGGGATTAATCTTGGATTAACCTTGGATAAACCTGGGACTGATCCTGGATTAACACGGGATTAACCCGGGATAAACCCGGGATAAACCCTGCTCCCCAGCGCAGCCCTGCTCGGCCCGGCCCAGGACACACTGCTGGATCCGCCCCTAAACCGGGACAGACCCGGGACAGACCCGGGATTAACCTGGATAGACCTGGGATTAACCCAGGATTAACCCAGATAAACCCGGGATTAACCTGGGATAAACGCAGATAAACCCAGGATTAACCTGAGATAAACCTGGGATTGACTGGGATAAACCCAGGAAAATCCTGGGATTAATCTTGGATTAACCTTGGATAAACCTGGGACTGATCCTGGATTAACACGGGATTAACCCGGGATAAACCCTGCTCCCTGCTCTCCCAGTGCTCCCAGTTCAGTTCCCAGTACCCCCAGTCCCTCCCAGTTCCATACCTGTCTCACCTGTGTCTGCAGGTGCAGCACCCGCTGACTCAGCGCTCTCAGCCCCGTTCCCAGTCCC